TTTTAATGGCACTCTCTGAAAGCGTTGCTCGAACTTCGGGGTTCAGCGTTGGAGCACTGAAGGATTCGTCTTGATTATATTTCTCCAACAACTTTTCCGTATCCTCTTTTTTGAGGCCCGACGCAGCCAATAATCCCAGTGAGGCTTGAATGACGGGTGAATCTTTGCATCCACCTTGTTGGATTTGGTTGGGTCGTCACCGAACACTTGTAAAATTTCTTCGTCCACGATCTCTCCCTCTTCTTTCGCGTCGTCACCCGTTTTAGGGACCGTGTTTTCCTTGTCGCCTACAAAAAATTAACAGAAAATGTACATTTCTGACTGTCACAATTGACACTTTTAGGTTATGGTCTGACTTGACTTGAGTTCAAGCTCACCACACCTCCTTCTGGCCTGTACTGCCTCTCGTGCAGGCTCAATAGTGATTTTTTTTTTTTTATAGTACATTTCCGCCTGTCACAATTGACATTTTTAGGTTATGGTCTGACTTGACTCGAGTTCAAGCTCACCACACCTTCTTCTGGCCTGTCCTGCCTCTCGTGCAGGCTCACCAGTAATTTTTTTTTTTTTACCTTGAATTATATCTTCGATCAACAATTCATTGTTTCTGAACTCGTTGCTGTCTTCGTTTTCCACCAGTGGCGCTGCAACAAACGCTGGAGGCACGGCCGAAACGACAGGCACCTTCTCGTTGCACGGGGGCGGGGTGTATGYATGCMCCCTTGACGTCACTGTCGATACAGACCTGCGATCGCAACTCGCACGCTCACCCCGTCTGCGGCTTCTCGATCTCGACCTGGAGCGCTCACGCCTACGTTCTGCGCGGTGTCGCTCGTGTGAGCGGCTACGAGAACGTTTTTCTCTCGATCTCGAACGGGCGCGAAATCTTCGACGCTTTTTGTCCGATCCGCCATGTTGGTCGTCAGATTCTGTCGTCGCTTCTCTTTTCCTCGATTTCTTCTCTGAACTCTTCTTTTTCCTTCGACTTTCATCGTCCTCGCGATCCTCGCGATTCCGTTTTCGCGATTTTCTACTCATCTTGTGGTTCGCGACAATTAACACTCAATAATTTTTTAATTTTATACGCTGTTCGTTGTTACTTCTAACACACAAAAACATTAATGAAGTATCATATAGAAGGGACATACGAAGGGGATTTTTCATACGCTAAAGTTGTGACATCTAGCGCCCAGAGGCGATACTACATGTAATCTTGAGAACGAGCATGAAGTATAATTATTCTCTTTGGATACAAATAGTAAAAATCACGCGCAACGTTAAATATAACTTTTTTTAGGACCGTTACCAGACGAGGATATGATGGAAATGATCAGTGGGACAACAATTAATTAATCCCCAAATCCAGTACCCTCCGATGGAAATGACGAAGCAGCTATGGCTGTGATCATGAGCCTTTTGGAAGCTGATGCTGGTTTGGGTGGACCTGTTGATTTCACCGGATTACCTTGGCCTTTACCATAATGTGAACTACTTTAGTGATTTTTTTTTAATTTTATTTTATTACACTTTCTTTTTCGTTACCTCCATTRAAAATTAGTGAACACATTTGTATAAGAATCTTTAGTGAAAAAGTGTATATACTATATATGTATATAAATGACACTTCCATATGTACCTGTAATCGAAATTTT